AGAGAAGAGAAGAGAAGAGAAGAGAAGAGAAGAGAAGAGAAGAGAAGGGAGAAGAGAGAGAAAGTAGAGAAGAGAAAAGAAGAGAAAAAAGAAGAGAAGAGAACTGAAAAGAAAAGAAAAGAAAAGAAAAGAAAAAAGGCACACCAGTCTGATTCTGCTAAAAGTAAAAATAGTAATAAAACAATAATATGGGAGCCAGGCATAGTGGCTCACACCTAAAATCCCAGCTACTCCAGAGACTACTATAATCCCAGCTACTCCAGAGAATACACCTATAATCCCAGCTACTCCAGAGAAGCAGGAGGACTGCTGGAGCCCAGAAGTTTGAGGCCAGCCTGGGCAGTGTAGCAAGACTCCAATCTGTTAGAAAAAAAAAAAGTAGGCTGGGTGTGGTGGCCTCATGCCTGTAATGTCAGCACTTTGGGAGGCCAAGGCTAGTGGATTGCTTGAGCTGAGGAGTTAGAGACCAGCCTGGGCAACATATTGAAACCCTGTCTCAACAAAAAATGAAAAAAATTAGCTGGGTGTGGTGGCGCACGCCTGCAGTCTCCACTACTTGGGAGGCTGAGGTAGGAGGATCACTTGAGCCTAGGAACTTGAGGCTACAGTGAGCTGTGATTGTGCCACTGTACTCCAGCCTGGGCACTGTACTCCAGAGTGAGACCCTGTCTCAAAAAAGAAAAAACCCGATCATATCAACCTCCAGAATGGTTATCAATGGGATGAAGTTCTCTCTCTTCCTTCTTACTCATAAATTGTGGCCTCAGCTCCCTGGCTGGCCGGGACTGTTATCTTCTGATTCTCCTTTACCTGGAGCAAGTTTGTTTCCTGACTGGATCATTGCATCTTTGAGTGAGTCTCCTCTGACACCCCTCCTAGCCCAGCCCCCCACCCCCGAGGTACCGCAGGCAAATTGAAAGAATGAACTTCCCCTCAGCTTTCAGATGGGACCAGTAAGGGGTTGATATGTGGGCTGATGTTTGTACAGTTTTTCTCCAGAACAAGGGTAAACACGTTTTTCATACAGGGTCAGATAGTAAATATTTTCAGCATTGCGGGACAGAAGATCTCTGTTGAAACTACTCAATGGCGACGAAAGTCACCACAGAATGGGTGTGGCTGGGTTCTAATCTAACTTTATTTACAGACATTGAGATGTGAATTTCGTACCATCCTCATGTGTCATGAGAGATTCTTCTTCTTTTTCTCTTTAAATTATTCTATTTTTATTTTTTGTAGAGATGGAGTCGCTATGTTGCCCAGGGTGGTCTCAAACTCCTGGACTCAAACAGTCCTCTTGCCTCAGCCTTCCAAAGTACTGAGATTACAGGTGTGAGCCACCATGCCCAGTTCCTTGATTGTTTTGGTTTTTTTTTTAATGTTTTGAGATGGAGTCTCACTCTGTCGCCCACGCTGGAGTGCAATGGCGTAATCTTGGCTCACTGCAACCTCCGCCCCCCGGGTTCAAGCGATTCTCCTGCCTCAGCCTGCCGAGTAGCTGGGATTACAGGTGCGCACCACCACGCCTGGCTAATTTTTTGTGTTTTTTAATAGAGATGAGGTTTCATCATCTTGGCCAGGCTGGTCTTGAACTCCTGACCTCGTGATCCACCCACCTTGGCCTCCCAAAGTGTTGGGATTTACAGGTGTGAGCCACCGCGCCTGGCTTTTTTTTTTTTTTTTTTTTTTTTAATTTAATGTTTTGAACACTTTAAAACTGTAAAAACTACCTTTTACTTGTGGGCCATACAGCAAGAGGGGGCAGGCCAGGTGTGGCCAACGGGCCACAGTTTGCCAAACCCTGCCCTAGGAGCGTGAACTCCAGTGGGTTCTCCAGGGTGCAAGGCAAAGATCCCATCTGCCAATCATGTCTGAACTCCACTTCAGAAGCTTGGGCAAGTACTGTGGGGTTCTGGAAGGCAGAAGTGTGCAAATCATGGCTCTTCATGTGGCCCTAAGCGTCTAACTGCTAAGCCCTGCTTCCTGATGTTCTTCACAACAGAAATCCAGCATCAGAAATCAGACACTGGCTGGCTGCTTTAGCGCTGCGTTGGCACCAGGTGCGTTGCATGCCAGGCTCTAGAAATAACCCCTCCTATTTTTAACACCCTTGCTTCATCAGAAGGTTTCTAGTTTCTCCCGAAAACAATCTCAGGGCCTAGAGAAACCCTGTCTGAGTTGGAATTCAGAGCCTCTAAGCCACGTGTGTTGCACTCTTGTCCCCACAAAAGTCCTCAACGTACCTGGGTGACCTACCTTCCCTTCTCATTCGGCGTCAGGGGGCCCCTGATGTGACCGGGAATCTGAGCAATTTCTATGCAAGGCGCGAGGAAAACGTGAGTTTTCTGAGAGCTTTTTATTTCAAGCCACAGACAGATTCTACTCAGTTAAAAATGCTTCCCAGGGCTCCTGGAAGCCGAGGAGGGGATGCTGCGCTCACCAGAGAGGGTGTGTTTTATCACTGAGAAAGGGAGGGGCTGGCTATTTACACGGAACACCAAGAACTGGCAAACACAGGTTGTCCCTGCAATGTTCATAAAGGACAACTGGAGGCAGCTTATCAGAGGCTGGTACAGTGGGGACACTTCTGAGCTCCAGGGGAAGTAGGGCCCTTGCAAACACCTGTCCACCTGCTGGCCCTGCCTTTCCCAACTGTGGCCAGATTGAGACTGACATCTTCTTGTTCTATTCCCAGGGGAGCCTGTGGCAGCCCAGAGGAGAGAGGAAGCAGCCTGCGACTGTGGCAGGGGGCAGATGGGAGCAGGGTGGAGCTAAAATTGCTCCCGCCTCCTCTCTGGAAGGTTCCGGGCTGAGACCTGGCTTCCTGGGGAAGAAGCCTGAGGGTTGCTAGGGCCACAGGAGGGCTAGTGCTCAGGCTCAGCATCCATGCAGGACTCCCATGGGTTCCGGGGCATTCGAGGCAGGGAGAACAGCAGGAGGGTGAGACCACCGAGGAAGAGGAGGACAAAGGCAGCACAGGCGCAGGCGAAGGACCAGGAGTAATAGTACTCGATCCAGACGGTGTCCTCACTGTCAATCATGCGCTTCACCGACTGCCGCATGACCTCTACTGAGACCAGGATGCAGAGACCTGGGGGGCGGAGCCAGGTACACTCAGGGACCTGCCATTACTGCCGTTACCCCCAGCCCCACCCCAGCCTGTGTGCATGGAGGAGGCAGTGACCTTGCCTTGGGGGAAAAGCTGCCTCAAGGCAGGTTCTAGCTGGGAGCCTGCAGAAGGATCCGTTTGTCCACGCACCACCCTATTCCTGCATCCCTTAGAAGGGCGACCACATGGCCGGGTACGGTGGCTCATGCCTGTAATCCCAGCACTTTGGGAGGCTGAGGCAGGAGGATCGCTTGAGGCCAGGAGTTTGAGACCAGCCTGGGCAACATAGTGATGAGCCCTCTGTCTCTACAAAAAAATTAAAATGTAATAAAAACTTAGCCAGGTGTGGTGGTGCACGTCTGTAGTCCCAGGTACTCAGGAGGCTGAGGCGGGAGGAACCCTTCAACTCAGGAGTTCGAGGCTGCAGTGAGCTGTGATTGTTCCACTGCACTCCAGCCTGGGCGACAGAGCGAGACCCTCTTCCTCATCCCCCAAGAAAAAGAAAGAAAGGCGACCACGTTTCTTTCCTTCTTCTGTTAATCATTCTCTGGGCAGTTTCTTTGGGGCCTTGAGGGTTGAGTCATGGGGAGGAATGGACAGACCGCCAAGCTCTGTCTCTCTCCAGCCCACCTGGGGTCGCTGAGGGCCTGGCCAGGTTTGCCCCTGGATGGGGATGGAGCCTGGGAAATGCCCCCCACCCAAATCCCATGGTGGGCATGAGAGTGGAGCGGAGAATCCCCCACGACATGGTCCCCCCAGTCCAGTGCTTGGGCGGAGCCCCCAGTCTACCTGCAAAAGCGTAGAACATGGACGCGGGCCGCAGCAGGTAGTCCCTCTTCTTCCCGAAGGACAGGAGGACACAGAGGCTGCCCAGGATGACAAAGCCAAGGCTGAAGATGGCGATGGCAGCTGCCGAGATGCTGTACTCTGCAAACACAAGGGACACCCGGCATGCGGCCTCAGTCCAGGAGCTCTCATGGTGGCTGGTTAGGGACCACCCCATGCACCACAATTCCCATCTCACACACGAGAAAGCCGACAGCCCCAGGGGCCAAGTCCTTCCCTAAGGCCCATGCAGAGCCAGGCGGCCATGGGGCTTCTTCTACCCGTCTTCCCAGAGCATCAGGCTGCAAGGTCCCCACCGGGGGCAGAGGCGAGAGGCAAGTGGCTGGAGGCCTTTCCAGAGCAGAAACTTTCCTCGAGTGACAGGGCAGGAGGCACTGGGGCGGCGGGGTGGTCTGCCTGGGGTTAAGGAGCAAAGGACCACAGGGTGGCTTGTCACCCAGCCCGGTGCACGTGAGGCTCTGCCAGTGTGTGTGGCAGTGTGCGTGTCTGTGTGTGGTTAGTGTGTGTGTGTTCATGTATGTGCCACATATGTGAGGATCTGTCAGAATGTGTTAGTGTCTGCGTATGGTAGTGCGTGCATGTGTATCTGGGTCTACGTCAATGTGTTGGTGTGTGTGTCACTGTGTGTATGTGTGTCTGCATGTGCTAATGTGTACATGTATCTGTGCATGTTAGTGTCTGTGTGTGTCATTGCCTGTGTGTCACTGTGTCTTGTCATTGTGTGTCTCATGTGTGTCATTGTGTATGTATCATTGTGTGTGTCATTGTGTGTCACTGCATGTCGTGTGCATGTCATTGTACATGTGTGTGTGTCAGTGTGTCTCTGTGTGTCTTGTGTGTGTGTCATTGTGTGTATGTCATTGTACGTGTCTATGTGTGTATGTCATTGTGTGTCTCTGTGTGTGTCTTGTCATTGTGTTGTGTCATTGGGTCAGTATGTGTTTCTGTGTGTCTTGTGTGGGTGTCATTGTGGGTGTCATTGTACATGTGTGTGTGTCTCTGTGTGTCTGTGTGTCTTGTGTGTCATTGTGTGTGTCATTGTCTTGTGTGTGTCACTGTGTCTTGTGTGTCATTGTGTGTCATTGTGTGGTGTGTGTGTCATTGTGTGTCATTGTGTGGTGTCGTGTGTGTCATTGTGTCATTTTGTCTGTGTGTCATTGTGTGTAATTGTGTGTGTCATTGTATGTGTCTCAGTGTGTGTTTCTGTGTGTGCCTGTGTCTTGTGTGTGCAACTGTGTGTGTAATTGTGTCAGTATGTGTGTCATGTGTGTCATTTTGTGTTATTGTACGTGTGTGTCAGTGTGTCTCTGTGTGTGCCTTGTGTGTGTCATTGTCTTGTGTATGTATCATTGTGTGTGTGTCATTGCCTGTGTGTCATTGTATGTCTGTGTGTCATTGCCTGTGTGTGCCTTGTGTGTGTCATTGTCTTGTGTATGTATCATTGTGTGTGTGTCATTGTGTGTGTCATTGCCTGTGTGTCATTGTATGTGTGTCATTGCCTGTGTGTCACTGTGTGTGTGTCATTGTACGTGTGTCAGTGTGTGTGTATCTGTGTCTTGTGTATGTCATTGTATGTGTGTATCTGTGTTGTGTGTGTCTGTGTGTGTCAGTGTGTGTCTCTGTGTCTGTCTTGTGTGTGTCATTGTATGTGTGTATCTGTGTTGCGTGTGTCTGTGTGTCAGTGTGTGTCTCTGTGTCTGTGTCTTGTGTGTGTCATTGTATGTGTGTATCTGTGTTGCGTGTGTCTGTGTGTCAGTGTGTGTCTCTGTGTCTGTGTCTTGTGTGTGTCATTGTATGTGTGTATCTGTGTTGTGTGTCTGTGTGTGTCAGTGTGCGTCTGTGTGTCTACCCACTCACCCTGTGTGCAGCTGTCTGGGCGCGGGCAGGCACAGGTGTGTGTCCCGACAGTGGGTGTGCGTCCGAGCTCTGTGGGTCCTGAAAAGCTCCCAGAGCCCACTGCGCCCTCTCGGTACTTGGGGAAGGGTTTCTAGGCCAGGGAGGGACTCAGACTGTCCCTGAAGACTCTAACCATCACATCCCACCAAGAGCCACCACAGGGCCTCTGAGCACTTGTTCCACATCCACAGCTCCCGTCACAACAGCTGCCCTTGGGTAGGAGCCTGCCAGAAAGTGCTGCTTCTGCAAACGCTCCCTGACCCCGAGGTGTGGAAGCTCTGGGCCCTGGAGATGGAAGGCGGCTACCTGGGGCCTCCGGAGCAGAGAGGTGGCAAGGCCGTTGTTCAAATGCACCACGGGCTTCTTCTCATCAGGCCTGAGGAAGTCAGTGCTTTTGCCCCCAATGGCTTTCTGGCCCAGTGATGCATGACACAGAAGTCCCCTCTTGTCACCCCAGCCCCCTTTCCACCCAGGCTCACCCTTCTGAGTAGTGAATTCGAAGATCTCCGAGCTCTCGCCGGGGTTAAAATGCCTGAAGTAGGAACAGTTCTTCTCTGCAAAGGAGGAGACACACGGTGAGTTGAGGGGAGGGACCTGTAGCAAGGACAGAGGCCTGGCAGAGAGTGCAGTGTCATGCTGCTGGGCACGCAGGGGCTCTGGCAGGCTCTCTTCTCCCCAGATCCTTAATCTGGGCTGAAATGTCTGTCTTTGACCCTTAGAACAACATCTCAGTGGAATAATGAGGTTGCCTGGGAGGCTGAGAGGTCTTCAGGGAGCTGAGGCTGGTTGAGTCCACAGGGCAGACGGCCTATGGGTTCTGCACCCCATTAGGCAGACGGGGTAACCAAGGCCCAGGCTTAAGCCATTTTTCAGGGTGTGCAGGGTGCACAATCACTAAAGAACCAAACAGCAGTCGCCGTGAGGACCGATTCTGCCCCCCAAAGGGACACTGGGCAATGCCTGGGGACATGGTGGTGGTGAGAGGGGTACACCTGGCATCTAGCCGGTAGAGGCCACAGACGCTGCTGAACATCCTGCAACACACAGGACAGGCCCTCCCAACATGGAATGATCCAGGCCAAAATGTCAAGAGTGCCAAGGTTGAGAAACCCTGGACCAACCCCAAATCTGGGACTGTTTCTCATCAGAATCCAGGCCCACCCTGGTTCACTGGTGGGACCTGGGAAGCAGTGTTTTTCAAAAGCTTTCTGGGAGATCCTGATGTGCAGCTGGGATGGGAACCCTGCTCCAGGCCCCTTAAAATGCCCCGCAAAGGGCTTTTTCCGAGTGGCCATTGGGATGGCCTGGACGCAGATGGAACCCCTACGAGGGCTGAATGTGACCATCATGTGGTTTCACTGGGTCGCTGGTCTCTGTGAGACAGCCCAGATGAGACCTGCCCCGCAAAGCCGCTTGGCCCACCTGATAATTGTCATAAAAGGTATGGAAAGTCTGTGGGTAGTAGGAACACGAATCTGAATTTGATGAGGGAGAGGGGAGGGGTTCAGCACAAGGAAATTCATGCTGATTTAAAATATAATTTCACTTCCATTTTTCTCTTTCAGTCTCTCTCTCATAGCTAGGTATACTATAAAATCAAAGGACAGGCTGGGCGCAGTGACTCACGCCTGTAATCTCAGCACTTCAGGAGGCTGAGGCAGGAGAGTCGCTTCAACCTGGGAGGCAGAGGTTGCAGTGAGCTGAGGTCGTGTCACTGCACTCCAGCCTGGGTGATGGAGTGGGACTCCGTCTCAAAAAAAAAAAAAAAAGGCCCAGTCTTATTTCTTCCTAAATCCAGTTTATCTTCTTTGCTCTTGATTTAGGAAGTGGATGAATGGGTTATTTTATATTATATTTCCTTCAAAAACTAAATTAGTTTGCTTTTTATTTGTGGAGGCCCTTCATTGATTTCTTTTCCTGTGGGTCAATGACCCTGAAATAGAAAGACATCTCTTCCTCTAGTTTAGATGGTGTCTAGTTTGTCAATTCATTTGTTCACTTCCAGGCTTCATTTAGATGCTCACAAGGCGGTTAATGGCCAGTTCTTTCTGGAAATGTACCTGCAGTGATACCAAGGCTTTTTTGGGGGATGAAGGCCTTCTTTAATCGGACCTAAATCATCTTCTTGCTTCTTAAGCCTGTGGTCTCATACCATTCCCCTCCTTCCCCCAAAAGTCGGGGCTGCTGCCTCTCCTGAGACTGAGGAAGGAAATGACCCTGGAGATGGGATGTGGTTTAGCAGCAGTACCCGTTCCTGGCATAAACAGCTTTCTCTGTGCGCTTCTATATTTAAATCACTTTCCTTTTGAACCACATTACCTGGGGTGTCTGACTGCTGGTGGTGATGTCAGAATTGGTGCTCTGCTATTCTCTCTCGGCGTCCGGTGCTATTTTAAAGCATAATGCAGACCTCTTCTATTTGTTAGATTATTAGCTATAGATCTCTTGAATCACTGCTTCGAAATGGCCCATGCTATGTTGTAAGTCTCCAGGTGTCTCCCCCTGGACAAAGAAACATTTCTGTTTCCGTTGTATTCTTTAAGAACCAATTTCAGTTGTCAGAATTGACTGAATTCAAGTGTATTTCACCGTCGGCTGCCTCCCTGACTGCTCAAAAGCTGTCCATTAAAATCCTTCCCAGCGGAGGACCCTGAGATGAGGGCCACGGAGTGCTTTGCTGGAGCACGGCTGTTTGCATCCGGTGGGTTGCTGAGGTGACTCTCGCACAGGTAGCATTTGGCTCGCCACACCCCCACCAGATAAACGCCAGACTCTGTGTGGCTGCTGGCTGCTTGGATAGAAATGATCTTAACTCAGACACAGGGGTAGCCTACGTGTCTGCAGGAGCCCGGTGGTGAGCTTCTGGGGGGATTGCTTTTCTTTTGGTGGTCCAGGGACAATGTTCCCCTCCCTCTTCTCCATTAAGTGTCCTCAAATGGAGGGAGGGGCCTCCAGTGGCTAGGATTCCTTCTCGGGCCATCAGAAAGCCTCAGCTTCACTCTTACATGGCTGAACTAGGGGCCTGAGGACGGATGGCCTGACTTGTCCCCTCTCTTGGGCTTAGCACATGCAAAAAGCCAGTGTCTCCTGCCCTGAACCCGGAAGAAACATCCACTCCTGGGCTATGTGGCTGCCCACTGGAGACCATAAACCCTTTCATGGTCCCTGATGGCCCCTGTAGGGGTGGGGGCACGTCAGACCCAGGCCCCATTCGGGATAAATCAGGCCAGGCATCTGCCCATGTCACTCAAGAGGGTGAGGGTCCTGTTCAGATGGACAGACCCTACTACGAGCCCCTTCCCTCCCTGCCCTGTCCCTGGGTCCAAGTGGATATTATTTGGGAAACTGAGCATCCAGGGCAACGTAAAGAGGAAGGACATCTGAGGGGGACCCGTCTTAGTCATGGGGCAAGAGGAGAGGGACTGTGACGGTCCTGTGCAGACTCTGAGCCTTCCTGCCTGTGCCTCTGGGATGTCCCTCTCTGTCCCACTGCCCTGGCTTCCATCATACTTACACAAAGCTCAGGGATTGCAGCTTTGCTTCCGACTAAGTCAGCAAAGATTCCAATGCCAGGATGATGATCTGGGGTGTTAGGAACTCTGAGGTTGTGCCATTCTCCTTTGTCTCTGCAAATGGCTTATGCTGATTTTAATCTCCTTATTTCTGTAAGACTCAGTGGTTTAAACATATTAAATGGGGTATTTATTAAAACTGTGGCGAACTCAGCCCTCAGACTTGACTGGGGGATGGAACAGTCTGGCTAAACAAGTGTTCTGGTTAAGGGCATTAGTCACTGTGCAGAACCATGTCTAGTGTGCCAGTTTCGAAGAATTAGAGCAGAAGCCACATTTAGCTCCAAGCTGAACTGGAGTTAATAGGGATCTTTCTTTGATAATTGGAGCAGCTGGTAGGATTAGGGGATGCCTTGGGTTATCACTGAGACTGTATCAGTGTTACCAAATGACAGTCCATGGAGACTTTCATATATTCAAAGATACTTTGTGGATTTGTCCAAAACCAGAAACTGGTACTTTAGGGATGCAAGAAAGCCTCTAACGTGCATTGATGCCAGTGTTGTGTTTAGCCTTTTGGTAAAAGAAGTTCTCTCAGCTCCTGACAGTGGTTTTCTGGGCTGTGTCTCCTCCCACACCTCTGATTGAAGAATTTTATAAAATGGGCTGGAGAAATCTCCAAGACCTGACCCCGGAGCTCCAGAGCACTACTCTTCCATGGCAGAAGCCTGGCTTTGGCCTAGGCCTCTGGCATGGACTCCTGTGAGTGGTGAGGGGAGCCCATGAAATTCCTGGGGTCAGTAGTATCATGCTCTTTCATCCAGTCCCAATTCCTGCACTGAGAGAAGATGGACCAGTAGGGAAAATGGGGCACTAGGCAAAATGGGCCCTGGGGCAGCCTGCCTCCTTGCCCTAAAGAGGCAGAGCTTGAAAGAAGCAACACTTCACCCAGCCCAAGGGCAAGGGATGGCCTCTCTGTGGGTTCATTTGGACTTACAGAACACATAGGCTCTCCTATGGGAGAGGCCCCTGCTCTCATTCTGGAGGCATTGGAATTGGTCGTAGATGTTGTACATGGAAGTCCTTCTAAGACTCTTTGGGGGACAGTAGAAAAATTAGACAACTCTTGTGGGGGACAGTAGAAAAATTAGACAACTCTTGCCCACTGAGCCTCCAACATTCTAAGACTAAATGGGACCATGAGAAGTCTCCTCCACTGCACCAGCTTCTGGTCTGGCTACCCTCAAACTATGCCATGTCAAAAGCTGGACTCCTTGTGTTCACTTGGGTCAGAACTTTTAGGAGCTGTGTTTACATGCACAATAGAGGGTGTGGGAAGGAACTGGAGAGAAAGGAGGCTCTGGATTCAAGACTTGGGTGGAGAACCTCTATTTGTTAGCTAGTTAGCCTGGGGAAGGCTATGCTCAGCCTCCATGTTCCTACCTGTAGAATGAGAACCACCTGTAGAATAAGAACCACCTGTAGAATAGGATCCACCTGTAGAATAAGAATCCACTCACTGGGTTGTTGTAAAGTAGTTAATTTATTGACTAAAAAGGTGAATGTTAGGGGTAATCGTCTGAGTACGAGTCCTGGCTGCTCTGCTCATCACCTGTGTTACCTTGTCAACTATCTCAACCTCTCAGTGGTTCATTTTCTTTATCCGTAAGATTGGAATGATGATAATAGCATGGCCTTCATGGAGGTTTTTGTGAGGATTAGGTGAGCTAATATATGTATGTCATCCCACCACCTTCTGGACTCCATAGATTTGGGGAAAAATTGGCCGTTCATCTTATTAAGGATTCCTCGTATGTGATGAATTGCTTCTTTCTGTTTTTAAGATCCTCTGTCTCTTTCAACAGTTTGATTATCGTGTGTCTAGGTGTGGATCCCTTAGAGTTTATTCTACCTGGAGTTCATTGAGCTTTACAAATTTGTAGATTTTTAATGTTTTTCATCCAATTTGGGAAGCTTTTGGACATTATTTTTCACATACCTTTTTTGTTCCTTTCTCCCTTTCCCTCTCCTTCTGGGACTTCCTTTACATACACCTGATGGTATCCCATAAGTCTCTGAGGCTCTTGTCATTTTTCTTTCTTTTTTTTTTTCTATCTGTTCCTCAGACTAACTAATCTCAAATGACTTATCTTAAAGGTCACTGATTCTTTTACCTGCTCAAATATGCTATTGAGCCCCTCTAGTGAATTTCTCATTTTAGTTATTGTACTTTTCAACTCTAGAATTTCCATTTTGTCCTTAAAAATAATTTCTATCTCTTTCTTGATAGTTTCTATTTCATGAGACATCATTTTCATCTTTAATGCTTTTGATTTTTAAAAAAAGTTCTTTGGATATACTTACTATAGCCAATTTAAAGTTTTTGTCTAGTAAGTCCAATATCTGGCTTCCTTAGGGATCTCTCGAGCTCTCCCTGCCCCATATATGCCCCATATCATTTTAGTTCTTTGCATGTCTTGTGTTTATGTATGTATTTATTTATTTAGAGACAGTCTCGCTGTCCCAGGCTGGAGTGCAGTGGAGTGATCATAGTTCACTGTAGTCTCTAACTCCTGGGATCAAACAATTCCCTCACCTAAGCCTCAGGAGTAGCTAGAATTATAGGCACATGCCACCACTGTTGTCTGTTTTGTGGGGTTGGTTTGTTTGTTCGTAGGGACAGGGTCTCGCTATATTGCCCAGTTTGATCTCAAACCTCTGGCCTCAAGCAATCCTCTTACTTGGCCTCCAAAAGTGCTGGGAACACAGGAGTGAGCCACCACACCCAGCCAGTATTTTTTAAACAATATAATGTGGCAACTCTGGAAATCAGTTGTTCCCCCTTCTTGAGGATTTGTTCCTATTGTTTGTTTAGTGACTTTTTGAACTCAGATGGTAAAGTCTGTTTTTTGTCATGTGTGACCACTGAAATCCCTGTTCAATTAGCTTAGTGACCAATTAGAAATTTCCTAAAATGCTTGGCAACAATGACTCCCCCAGTCTTTACTGAGGGGCTCTGTGCATATGACTCACACTCAGGTAAGCCACCCACATCTCTGCCTTAGCTTTCACTTTCTGCTTGAACAGAGCCTTAAGATAAGGCAGAGAGTGCTTAGGGCCTTCTTAGGTCTTTCTTGAGTGTGCACATAGCCTTGTGCATGCATGTGACCTCCTAGATTCCCAGGAATTTGTTGGAGCTTTTCAAAGCAACCTATGGACATCTCAGTCTCCAGTTTTTTGGTTAGCCTGTTGTTTTCCCAACTGTTATCTACTGCCTCAGACAGCCATGATGTTAAGCAATCATCTCTAATTATTTTCCACAAATGTCCCCAGGGAGAAAGACTCTTTGCACTGGATGAGCTCAGAGTCAGGTCAAACAGAAACAGCTTCTCAAGTGGGGCTTTTCAGGGAATCACCGGACAGGTCAAATCATGACAACGCTCTGGGAATGGGCCTTTGATCCAACCCCATTCTCTCCCCTCCAGAGGCTACTGGGATGCTGATTTTCACTGTGATTATGAAAGTTGGTTTGAGAGGTTATCACAGAGCTGGGAAAGGGAATCAGGAATAAGTCAAGTTAAAACATCACAGAACTCACTAGTCCTCCTGAGATTCACCCATTTTTCCTGCTGGACGTTGGTTAATTTCCAGAGTTCTGAAAATGTTGATTCTGACCATTTCCACCAGCCTTCTCATTGCTTTTATGGAGAAGAAGATTTTTGGAAGTTCTTTTTCTCTATCATCTTTTTTGTGATGTCATTCAAAGTTGATACATGTAAAGCATTTACGACAATATTCAGCACATAGGGTTACATGTATGTGCTATTATTATTGTTGTTGTTGTTAATAATAAATGAGAGGCCACATATGAACCCGCTTCCTCCCTCCAGACAAGAGTGGTCCCAAGGGGCACAAGAAGGGCATATGGGGAAGGAGAAAGATGTCCATTCGCAGAGAAAAGAGAGGGAAAAAGGCAGGAACATACTTTGGAAGATGACTGGGGGAAAGGTAGTGCTCAGTGTCACAAGTGTGGGAAGTATGGTTCATAGCTGGTTAGGCTAAGAAGGCAAAGAGGTAGATCCTGGTCAGGCTCAAGGCCAAGCAATGCCTGTTGGTCCCTTGTAATTGGTCCAGTCACCTCTCACCAGCCTGTCTCTTCCTTGTGTGGACTCTGCTCACTGCCCAGTCCTCTGCTCTGACTTTAAAAGGCAGATGGTTCCAAGGACGGGTGAACAGGACTGTAACAGCACGTCCCTATGTGCGGTCCCTGAAGAAGCTGCCCTGCCCTGCCCTGCCCAGGGGAGTTGGCTCTAGGGATTGCCTGTTTATGGGTGTGCTCGGCAGTCGTCAAGGGGCATGGGCATCCAGGCTATGCGATACCCTGCAAGCACATGGCCACACCTGTCACCCTCAGCCCTGGGACTCGGTGTTTCTATAACAGTTGGGCACTTACGAGTCTTCTGGGCGTCCAGTGGGCGTGAATGAGGGAGGGGATCTCTGGAGCAAGCAGCAGGGAAGGAAGAGGGAGCAGAGATGTGGGAGGATGGGGTGTTGGCTCTTTGGTTCACATGCAGACTGCAAGATCTTTGGGGACTCAGCCCTAGTGTCCTTGAAGGACAGGTTTCAAGGAACACCAAAGTCTGATAAAAGAGGGAATAATCCTGAAAACCAGGTGGGACATCACACTGACATAACCCTGCTCCACTGCCACCGTGGACGGGCGTCTGTAAACCTGGGAAGGGATCTTACATTGCTGAGAGTCAGTCCCATATTTTATAGAGGAAGAAGCAGAGGCTGAGATGATCTTTGTCCTCCCTGGATGGTCATTTGAGGGTAATGGGCAATGGTGACTAGATCCCTGGCCGCCTGGTCTCCACGTAGCACCCTTTCCTCTAAAGTGCTGTATTTGCTAAGAATCCAGAAGCCTCGGCATTTGCAGAATAGAGGCTAGTCATGCAACTACCAGGTACTCCTGAAAAGGAGCTTACCTTCGACATGTGGTTCGGTCACATGGTAGGAAATCGAGGAATACGCTTAAATTACAGGGTGAGGAAATGCTTTGTAACTCTGACAGGGTCTGAGCTAAAGGAGGATGCATAATGGACTGACGTCCTGACAAAAGGGCGGGCGGAGGCCAGGCACGGTGGCTCACGCCTGTAATCCCAGCACTTTGGGAGGCCAAGGCAGGTGGATCACCTGAGGTCAGGGGTTCAAGACCAGTCTGGTCAACATGGCAAAACCCCGTCTGTACTGAAAGTACAAAAATTAGATGGGTGCGGTAGCGCATGCCTGTAATCCCAGCTACTGGGGAAGCCAAGGCAGGAGAATCACTTGAGTCCAGGAGGCGGAAGTTGCAGTGAGCCAAGATTGTACCACTGCACTCCAGCCTGGGCGACAGAGCAAAACTCTGTCTCAAAAAAAAAAAAAAAAAAAAAAAAAAGGTAGGGGCAGGTGGCTCACCCACAGCCACGTCCTGCTTCACAGACATTCAACCTGTGCAGCTGCTCCAGGCCCAGGGCCCACAAGGGTCCATGCTTGGATTCATGTGCTGCTATCACTGCCTTGAAATCCTTGGTAATTTGGAGAAAGGAACCCTGCATTTTCATTTTGCACAGGACCCTGCATATTCCGTCGCCTGTCCTCTCTCCTCCCCTGCCTTGAGGCCAGGGACAAACCTGCCAGCTCCATGGTTTCCCCCAGCCTGAGGACACAGAGCCACCCAGCATGTCTTTGCAGGGAGGGAGTGACCAGATGGAGCCCAGAAGTCCCTGCGCTGGTAGAGCTGCAGTTCCTGTCTTGAGCCTGCCCAGCTCTCTGCTCTGGGCGAAAAGCCCCAAGGTCCAGCCAGACAGAAATAGCTGGGACAAACGCCCTCGTCTTACAACCCAGCCCCAGCCACCAGCACAGCACATGCAATTCAGATCTTCTTCCCTGGGCAGAAAGGGCTGGGCGGCTGCCCTATCTCTAGCCTGAGAAACCTGCCTTCCTTGGCATGGGCAAATTTGTCCAGGGGACGACGGGGAAGGGTGGGAGGTGGGGATCGGGATGGAGGGTGGGTACGTTACCCCCGGGCAGGGTGATGGGCCCGCAGGTCTTGCTGTCGTCCATGGGGATGCGCTTGGTACAAATCCGCCAGAGGCCGAAGTGGGCCGCCTCGCAGGTGGTGTTGTGGTGCTCCATGTGGGGGCTCAGCACAGCCCAGTGGTCGGTTACCACGGCCGTCATGGCCAGCACAATGCCTGCCAGGATGCAGAAGAGGGTCACGCGGACCTTCAGCGTTTTGGTCTGGGACATGGTGGTCGCCGAGGCGTGGGTGCCCTGGGCAGGGTCCGGCGGCTGCGTCTCCTCGGGCAGGTGACAGCCGAGCTGGGGGGTGGCGGTGGTTGTCGAGTTGGGAGTGGCCACTAAGTTTAGTGTGCCTGGCTGAGCCAGAGTGGGCTGGCCTTGGGGCTGAGGGACGCGGGACGTGCTGAGCAGCTGCCCAGACGCGTCAGGGGCCTGAGGGAGGCTGCTATTAATGCCCCTCTCCAGGCGTGGCACCGGGGACGGCTTCTGCTCGGGTTTCTGAGCTGTCTGCCTCTCTGGGAGCCAGAAATACCCCGGTGGGGGGCGGGGCAAGGAGAGAAGGCTCTGGATGGTGGATTGAGGCCTCTATGGAGTAGCAGCTCAAGGTGCCTGAGTTAGGAGGGGGCGAGGGGTGGGCAGCAGGGCCCCAGGGGTGGGGATCTGTCTGCTCTGGGCTGATGGGAAAGGGCACCCCAGGCCAGGGGAGGAGACCAGAAGCTGCAGGCTGCATGGCCGTCCCGGGCTCCCACAGGGTAAGCCTACTACCAGCGGGGCAGGGAGTAGGTTCTCATCCTGGAATCTGGGGGTCCTAGGATTCTGTCTAGGGACATCCCAGGGACCCCATCCAGGGCCTGTGGAGTCTACCTCTCAGGCAAGCATTTTAGCCACAAACCCCACAGCATCCCCCAAACCATAGGAAGATTTTAGGTGGTTCCCAGGCCTGGCCTTACCCAACTCTGATCCCTCCACGAGAGCATTACTTCCTTTTCAATTCTCTTTCCATCCCCAAAACTGGGTCCAGAGCAGAGCTCCGTTCGAGGTCAGTGTCATTACTGCCCGCAAAGTGTCCTCTGAAACAAAGCGAGAGTGGCCTGAAGAGGACGAGGAATCCTGCTGGACTTGGTGGTTCTGTTTTCAGGGCGCTGTGTTTGGTTTTGCCTTCTACTAACAGCAGGTGATAACGATTTTCCAGTTACGTTTTAATTTGCAAAATAAGTGTGTGAGTGAAAAAGAACGAATAGGTTGATTTATAGGGGATCATCAGGAGCTCACGGGTGTGCGGATACGGCAGAGAACACAGAAAGCCTGGGATCGACCACCCTCCGAAGGTCCTGTGCACCCGCCTGGCCCCTAGGCTTGTCCCCGAGGCTGCGGCCTCTACGTCTCTCCTGGGTTGTGCCATCTCTCCCTTCTCAGCTCACTGGGTGGCTTTTTTGGGTGTAGCTGAGAGGCTGATGCATGATCAGGAATAGCCTCCTGAGCTGGGTGGGGCCTTGAACTTCAAAATTCTTGCCTCAGATTGACACGATTTACAGAGACTCTGCCCATGTGGACAGAAACATTTCGGCCTCCAGCCTTGGAATCACAAAAAGTTCATGATGATGATAATAGGAGCAGTGGCTCATCTTCAGTGAGTGCTTACTATCTACCAGGCACTCTGCTAAGCCTTCATCCATCATCGCAGTTACTCTTCATACCAAATCCACAAGGGGAGCGTGGCTGTTTTTGCCATTTCACAGTAACACAACTGTTACTGCCATTTCACAGACAAGGACATGGACGCTCAGAGACATGAAGTCACTTGTCTAAGGTCACACAGCGGGAAAATGAGGAAGCCAGGTTTCAGGACCCAGAGCCCAAAGTCTTAACCAATGGTTAGAACTGGGAAGAAGCTTGAAGATCTATTGTGACAGATTAGGAATCTGCAGCCCAGAGAGGAGACATGATGAACCAGGACCACCTGGTGAACAGCCCCGAGGCTGAGCTGAACCCTCGTGTCTCCAGCCACAGGCTCGTGCTTATTGCAGTTCCATCCAAACGTTCATATTTTTAAAGTCAGTCTCTCATCCATATTACAATCTCCCGAGAGCTTCTCTCCCCACTGTTCTCATCTCTGCTTCCCTTCCTCCCTGTCCCCCCACCTCTGTGTTCCCAGTGGGTGCTAATCCATCACAACTGACTGATCACTGACTGATTGTTGACATATGCCGCCGCCCCTGCTTCAGCTCGCGGAGAAACTGCCTGTCACCAGGTGGGTGGACCGTCTCCATGGGGAACTCCCGGAACCTGGGACATGGCCGCAGCCTCTGAGCCCTCTCTTGTTGCTTGTGGGGGCCCAGCTTCAGGATCCTGGCACCTGGGGATCTCAGGGGGTGCTGGACAGCTTGAGCAGACCTACTGAGTGCCAGGCACAAAGCAAAGCAGTAGCTGGGGAGCCAGAATAGGGTTCCAGTGTTTTAAGACAGAATATCTAGAAAGAAGCTATTTAATTTTAGCACTACAAGTAAATACAGTGTCGCTGGAAGAATAAAAGTGTCTTTTGAATTTCCTGGTGTAGTGGGTGTGGGTGCCCTAAGCTCTTCGGTGCCAAGAGCCTCTGACGGCCTTGGAAAGCACCCTGAAAGGGCCCAGCCCACAGGGTGCACCCAGCACCAGCCATGATGATATTGCAGGCCCTTCAAAGATGCCAGGTCTCGGCGGGGACAGCAACCAGGAACTTCTGCTGCTCTTTCCCTCGGTGGGGGGCAGGTTTGTGCCCCATGCAGGGGTCCAGAGTCCTCCGCCCCAGTGCAGTGAAAGCATTAAAGATTGATGGCCTCTGCCTTTTGAAGTCATCTTTGTGTAAGTCGCACCACGAGGCCGGCAGCTGCAGCTACTGCAGGCAGATCCACTTTCTCTCCCCTGTTTACTAAAAGCTCCCTCAAATACACCTTTTCTGCTCACAGAGGCACTGCCGCGCTGCCTGCCTGGTTCCCCAAGAGCCTGGCAGGGCCAGGAAAGGACTTCAGTATCCACAGGCATTTGCTGAGAGTTGGGCAGGGCAACATCCATGTCCTCCCCTCAGATCTCACCCTTTCCAGGGCAACAGGGAGGAGAGCATCTCAGGGAGGCAGCATGCGAGAGGGGGACCAAGCTAGAGGGTGATGGAGCCGGCCAGCCCTGAGCAAATCCCTGCACTGCTTAGCAACAGCTGTGCAGCTTCCAGCAAGTCATTAGCCTTTCTAAGCTGCCCTTTGTAAAATGAAAGCAATGGGCCTGGCTGTGGAGAGGGTAGAAGGACAGGAGGGAGTGCATTGGACCAGCTTAGCCATGGCAGGCACTAGGGGCTGCATCATGTTTTCCCCAAGTTCATATGTTGAAACCTAACCCCGAGTGTGATGGTGTGTGGACATGGGGTCTTTGGGAGATAATGAAATGAGCTCATGGAGGTGGGGCCCTTGCGATGGGAGCAGCGTCTGTATTAGTCTGTTCTCACACTGCCGAGACTGGTAATTTACAAAGGAAAGAGGTTGAATGGACTCACAGTTCCACATGGCCGGGGAGGCCTCACAATTGTGGCAGAAGGTGAAGAAGGAGCAAAGGCACATCTTACATGGCGCCAGGCAAGAGAGCACGTGCAGGGAACTGCCCTTTATAAAACCATCAGATCTTGTGAGATTTATTCACTATCATGAGAACAGCAGAGAAAAAGACACCTCCATGATTCAGTTACCTCCCACTGGGTCCTTCCCGTGACATGGAATTATTACAATTCGAGATGAGATTTGGGTGGGGGCACAGAGTCCAACCGTAGCAGTGTTCTCATAAGAGGAGACCGGAGAGAGGCCGTCATGCATTTAATAGAGTATTGAGTACTTGATTCAGCACAGGACATAATGGTAAGAAATCAATCACCCTGGATGCCTGGCACTCACAGTGTTGTGGGAAATTTGGGGGGCTCCTTTCCTGTTGTGTTCTCCAGATGTTGATGCTTACTTGCACCCCTGAGATATTTTTATCCTATCCACACCAGCCCAATTCCCTTTGGTTTTACAACCCCACTCTGCCAGCTTCCAATTCTGGCAGCTTTTTCCTACTGCCCTGATCACAGTGGCCTTTTCCCTCCCTGTTGATTCAGGACCCTCCTGAGGCCTCCAGAACGTACAGGCCAGCAAGGGCTTGGGTCATAGTTAAGTTGGGGCACAATAGGGCCCACGCTGGGACTTCTGCCCTGCCAAGCAGAAGAAGACCCACTCCCTGCCCTCGAGGAGTCCACAAATTGTTAGGGCAGCTGAGACTGTACTGGGAGGGGCTGTGGGGTCTCCTGGGACAGAACTCAGCCTGCTTGGAGAGGTGTGGAGAGGAGGAGCTCCAGGCAAGACATGGGCCCGTCGGGAGGCTTGAGCCCGCAGCCAGGGTTCTCAAAGTGCACCGTGTACATACGTGCTAGAGGAGAGAAGGCAGCCTGTGATTTAAAGACTTTTTTTTTTTTTTTTAGACGGAGTCTTGCTCTGTTACCCAGGCTGGAGTGCAGTGGCGCAGTCTCAGCTCACTGCAAGCTCTGCCTCCCGGGTTCACACCATTCTCCTGTCTCAGCCTCCTGAGTAGCTGGGACTACAGGCGCCTGCCACCATGCCAGGCTAATTGTTTTTGTATTTTTTAGTAGAGATGGGATTTCACTGTGTTAGTCAGACGGTCTCGATCTCCTGACCTCGTGATCCACCTGCCTCAGTCTCCCAAAGTGCTGGGATTACAGGCGTGAGCCATCGCGCCTGTAAAAGTCATTTAAAGACTTTTATGTTTCTTTTTTTGAGATGGAGTCTCCCTCTCTCACCCAGGCTGGAGTGCAGTGGTGTGATCGCAGCTCACTGCAATCTCCGCCTCCCGGGTTCAGGCAATTCTCTTGTCTCAGCTTCTCAAGTAGCTGGGATTATAGGCATGTACTACCACGCCCAGCTAATTTTTGTATTTTTGGTAGAGACAGGGTTTCACCATATTGGCCAGGCTAGTCTCCAACTCCTGACCTCAAGTGATCTACCCGCCTCCGCCTCCCAAAATGCTGCAATTACAGGTGTGAGCCACCACGCCTGGCCTAACGATTTTCATATTTCTTTTCATGAGGATCTGGATTATATCATTAATATGATTTCTTTAGGTCAAGATCAAATTAAAAGTGGTAATTTAAAGAAAAAGATGAAGCAAGTAATTGTACAGGTGGCGCCTAGGATGTGGCAAGCATCATGCCAGTGTCCCGGGGTGGCTGCTGTGTGGAGCATGCAGCTGTCAGGGAAAGCGCATGTCCTTTCTGGAAGCGACAGTCATAGACTGGAACCCCAGCTTTGCTGTTGACTGTGTGTGTGCCTTGTGAGAGATGGGTCACCTTTCTGAGCCTGTTTCTTGCTCACAAAGAAGGGAGGATCATAACTACCTTGTGGGGTTATAGCGAGAATTAAATGCAGTAATGTACGTGTGCACATGTAGACTGTGATGTACGTTACTTCACAAGAAGCTTTGTGGGACTCTGAGAGGGCTGGACACCTGCAATGTTGGTGCCCATGGCTTGGGCAGCAGCAGGAAACACTTTGTTGAGCAGGTCAGAGTCAAAAGATAATGATGATGATTTTCTAGCCAAGCAAATAGAAGTTTGATGAGAACATGCAAATCCCCATTGACTGTCCGCCTCACTACTGTCACTCTGGGAGTGCTTCTGGAGAAATCTGATGATGACAGTGGTTCCTGCAGAATGGGTAGTGATGGAGCTA